GTGTTCAGCGTGCTGACGGCTCTCTCCTCCTTCCAGGACAGCCGAGGGGATCGAAGGCCAGCACCCTGCACCCAGCCCCTGCCCCGCGTGGACGCCTCGGTGCCTTCCCGGCTCTCCGGTTAGCAGGGTGTGCGGCGCAGCAGCACCCAGGCCATGACCAGCCGAGGAGCCGCCAGGCCAAATGGGCAGTCCCAAGCCAGTAAAATCTGTCAGTTCAAGCTGGTGCTGCTGGGCGAGTCGGCGGTGGGGAAATCCAGCCTGGTGCTGCGCTTCGTCAAGGGCCAGTTCCACGAGTACCAGGAGAGCACCATCGGCGGTGAGTCGGCAACAGATGCCCGTCATGGGTACTCCCGCACCCTCGAGTAACGCTCTCGGGCGCCCGCAGCCCCATCACCACGGCTTTGCCTTGTGCCGGGTTTATTTCCCATTAAACACAAGCCCCCGCCAGGCTCCGAGCCCTTGCCCTGCGGTCATGGTACGTGGACTGGGTGCGTGAGTGCTTGGCAGCTGGTGGTCCGTGGGTGGGTGGTGGTGCCTCGGTGAATCTGGTGGTCCCTGGGCCGCAGTCGGTGCAGGAGCCCTTGCTGATCCCCTGATAAACATGCTGCTTGTGCGGAGCAGATGGGATTTTTTTGTCAGCAAGCTGAGCTCGATGTGACTAACGGGCTGGGCTAACGGGGTCCTGGAGCCGACTGCGGCGCCAGACAAGGGGTGTGGGGAGGGTTCCCCACTGCCCGTTAGGTACCTGCCTGCAGCAGGGGTGACTGATGCGATACTAACGCCATCTTTTCTCCCGACAGCGGCGTTCCTTACACAGTCCGTCTGCCTGGATGACACAACGGTAAAGTTTGAGATCTGGGATACGGCTGGCCAGGAGAGATACCACAGTCTGGCCCCGATGTACTACCGGGGGGCACAAGCTGCCATCGTGGTCTATGATATCACCAACCAGGTAGGGTCCCTCTCGGCACTCCTCGGCTGCCAGGCACCAGGCACCTCTGTTAAACTGCCCCAGAGCGAAGGCCTGTGCAGCTCAGGGGGTGCTCATGGCTGCGGGTGTCTCCCAGGGGCCATCTCCTCGCAGGGAGGTGGGGGTGGCTCTTGCCGTGGCGGGGATCCCTCTAAGACGCCCACCTTGCAGCACAGCGGTGGGACGAGCCTTGAGTTCCCACCTCTGCTCCTAGGAAACGTTTGCACGGGCGAAGACATGGGTGAAGGAGCTACAGAGACAAGCCAGCCCCAGCATTGTCATCGCCCTCGCGGGCAACAAGGCTGACCTGGCCAGCAAACGCATGGTGGAATACGAAGTAAGTGTCAGGCTGGCGTGAGCTCCCCTGCCCGTCCCTGTCCCCTCTTGGCATTGCCGCGGGAGATGTGCCGGGGCTTCAGCTGCCAGACCCTCACCTGACTGCTCATGTCTCTTGCAGGAGGCGCAGGCTTACGCAGATGACAACAGCCTATTGTTCATGGAGACGTCGGCCAAGACGGCGATGAATGTGAACGATCTCTTCTTGGCCATCGGTGAGGCTTGGAAAGCGGCTGGGGGACAAGGGTGGGTTTAGGGGAGGGTCTGCCCGGGGTGCAGCTTCCGCTC